CCCGAGCCTCTTCACTACTGGGATCACTCATTTGGTTCCTAAAGACCGAGATTCCACAGACCCGAGCAAATACCGCCCCATAACGTGTCTACCTACCATATACAAGACACTGACATCCATTTTGAGCGCGAGAATCACTCGTCACCTGAACTAAAATCAGGTGATGTCGCGCGCTCAAAATGGATGTCGGGGCGGTGGTCGTGGAACCAAGGAACCACTCATCATTGACGCGGTCATTGGCAAGGTGGTTAAACGCAACCGTCGGAACCTCTCCGCCGCCTGGATAGACTACAAAAAGGCATTCGACTCGGTGCCTCATACATGGCTGAAGAGGGTCCTCGAGCTGTACAAGGTTGACTGTACAGTTCGAGACTTCCTCGGGCAGTGTATGGGGCAGTGGAGTAAGATCCTTTGTCATCTAGGCGAGCGGATGACGGCTGCGGAGAACCACTAAAGGATAAGAAGGGGTATCTTCCAGGGCGATTGTCTGAGTCCAATATGGTTCTGCCTCTCTCTGAACCCTCTTAGTACCTTACTGGAGGGTTCCGGGAGGGGATTTCAGCTTCGGAGAGGAGGTACAAAAGTGACCCACCTTTTCTATATGGATGATCTCAAGTTATTCGCCTCCAGTCGCTCTCATCTTATGGAATTGCTAAACATCACTTGTGATTTTAGCAATTCTATTAGAATGGAGCTGGGGACGGATAAGTGTGCGGTCCTCCATGTCGAAAGGGGTAGGGTTGCTAACTCTGAGGGCATAGACTTATCTATGCCCATCAACATAAAGACCCTATCCGAGGCTGAAACATACCGATACCTGGGTATGTCACAGAACATAGGTATCGGTGAGGCGGACATGAAACGGTCAGTTTGCGGTGTGTTTTATGCACGCTTGACAAAAGTGCTCAACAGTCTTTTGTCGGGCGTTAATAAGACACATGCATATAACGGTTGGATCATGCCTGTTCTCATGTATACCTTTGGCATGCTCAGGTGGACTCAGACCGAACTGAACGCTCTGGACAGAAAAGTCCGCACTATAATGACGTCCCACAGGATGCATCATCCGAGATCGTCAGTAATGAGGCTGTACTTGCCGCGGAAGCATGGTAGGCGCGGCTTTTTAGGCGCGCTTACCATGCATAATCGCGAAGTGTGCAGCCTCCGTAATTACTTTCTGACGAGAGCGGATGATCCATTCTATAGGGACGTTATTTCTTGTGATAAAGGACTTACCCCTCTATCCTTAGCCAACGAGCAATGGCAAGACCCGGCAGTACAGAGCATTTCCGACCGGGAGACCGTATGGAAGGAGAAGGAGCTCCACGGGAGGTTCTACAAGGCTCTACATGAGCCTTGCGTAGACACAGTCGCCTCCCTCCACTGGCTACGTTTCGGTGACCTCTTTGGGGAAACCGAGGGTTTTGTCTGTGCGATACAGGATCAGGTTATTAAGACCAACAATTATCGGAAATACATCCTATAGGATGGCGCCGTCGACATCTGTCGAGCTTGTCGCCATCCCGGTGAGTCACTTAGGCATGTTATCTCCGGTTGTTCGGCGCTTTCTAACTCTGAGTATTTGCACAGACACAACCTAGTAGCCAGGATTCTACACCAGGAGCTCGCTCTGAAATACGGACTCGTGGATCGGAAACTGCCATATTACAATTACTTGCCGCAAGCCGTGCTCGAAAATGACCGCGCCAGGCTCTACTGGGACCGGGCCATCATCACGGACAGGACTATTCTTGCGAATAAGCCTGATATTGTGCTGATGGACCGGGCACAGTCAAGGATATTTTTGGTCGACATTACCATTCCTTATGACGAGAACCTCGTAAAAGCCGAAACAGATAAGTTGACAAAATATCTGGACCTGGCTCACGAGGTGACCGACATGTGGGGTGGTCTGCCGGCCTAAATTATTCCTGTGGTCGTTTCTGCGAATGGGTTAATCCCAGTCAGCCTCTCGTGTCATCTGAGGCGACTGGGACTCCGTGACGGATCGCTTCAAGCTCAAATGCAGAAGGCGGTGCTCCTCGATACCGCCCGCATCGTCCGCCGGTTTCTTTCCCTTTCCCCCTAACCCTCGGCCGTTTGGTCTCCCCTGCCGAGGGCTTCCATCTGGTTGGGTTTTTATATATTTATGTATTTTTATGTATTTATTTTATTTTATTGATATTTGTGTAAGTTTATCATTTTCATTTACTATTATATATTTATACAGCCCAACCAGATGAGAAAACTCATACAAATACCCCATAATAATAATAGTTATCTTCCAGGGCGATTGTTTGAGTCCAATCTGGTTCTGCCTCTCTCTGAACCCTCTTAGTACCTTACTGGAGGGTTCCGGGAGGGGATTTCAGCTTCGGAGAGAAGGTACAAAAGTGACCCACCTTTTCTATATGGATGATCTCAAGTTATTCGCCTCCAGTCGCTCTCATCTTATGGAGTTGCTAAACATCACTTGTGATTTTAGCAATTCTATTAGAATGGAGCTGGGGACGGATAAGTGTGCGGTCCTCCATGTCGAAAGGGGTAGAGTTGCTAACTCTGAGGGCATAGATTTATCTATGCCCATCAACATAAAGACCCTATCCGAGGCTGAAACATACCGATACCTGGGTATGTCACAGAACATAGGTATCGATGAGGCGGACATGAAACAGTCAGTTTGCGGTGTGTTTTATGCACGCTTGACAAAAGTGCTTAACAGTCTTTTGTCGGGCGTTAATAAGACACATGCATATAACGGTTGGATCATGCCTGTTATCATGTATACCTTTGGCATGCTCAGGTGGACTCAGAACGAACTAAACGCTCTGGACAGAAAGTCCGCACTATAATGACGTCCCACAGGATGTATAATCCGAGATCGTCAGTAATGAGGCTGTACTTGCCGCGGAAGCATGGTGGGCGCGGCTTTTTAAGCGCGCTTACCATGCATAATCGCGAAGTGTGCAGCCTCCGTAATTACTTTCTGACGAGAGCGGATGATCCATTCTATAGGGACGTTATTTCTTGTGATAAAGGACTTACCCCTCTATCCTTAGCCAACGAGCAATGGCAAGACCCGGCAGTACAGAGCATTTCCGACCGGGAGACCGTATGGAAGGAGAAGGAGCTCCACGGGAGGTTCTACAAGGCTCTACATGAGCCTTGCGTAGACACAGTCACCTCCCTCCACTGGCTTCGTTTCGGTGACCTCTTTGGGGAAACCGAGGGTTTTGTCTGTGCGATACAGGATCAGGTTATTAAGACCAACAATTATCGGAAATACATCCTAAAGGATGGCGCCGTCGACATCTGTCGAGCTTGTCGCCATCCCGGTGAGTCACTTAGGCATGTCATCTCCGGTTGTTCGGCGCTTTCTAACTCTGAGTATTTGCACAGACACAACCTAGTAGCCAGGATTCTACACCAGGAGCTCGCTCTGAAATACGGTCTCGTGGATCGGAAACTGCCTTATTATAAGTATATGCCGCAAGCCGTGCTCGAAAATGGCCGCGCCAGGCTCTACTGGGACCGGGCCATCATCACGGACAGGACTATTCTTGCGAATAAGCCTGATATTGTGCTGATGGACCGGGCACAGTCAAAGATATTTTTGGTCGATATTACCATTCCTTATGACGAGAACCTCGTGAAAGCCGAAACAGATAAGTAGACAAAATATCTGGACCTGCCTCACGAGGTGACCGACATGTGGGGTGGTCTGCCGGCCGAAATTATTCCTTTGGTCGTCTCTGCGAACGGGTTCATCCCAGTCAGCCTCTCGGATCATCTGAGGCGACTGGGACTTCGTGACGGATCGCTCCAAGCTCAAATGCAGAAGGCGGTGCTCCTCGATACCGCCCGCATCGTCCGCCGGTTTCTTTCCCTTTCCCCCTAAACCCTCGGCCGTTTGGTCTCCCCTGCCGAGGGCTTCCATCTGGTTGGGTTTTTATATATTTATGTAATTTTTATGTATTTATTTTATTTTATTGATATTTATGTAAGTTTATCATTTTCATTTACAATTATATATTTATACAGCCCAACCAGATGAGAAAACTATACAAATACCCCATAATAATAATTATTATTATTATATATATTTATACAGCCCAACTAGATGAGAAAACTATACAAATACCCCATAATAATAATGTCCTCCAGACCGAATTTCGGTCACTGAGACTAGCCATCGGCGCAGGACAGGATTATAGTGCCCAAGTGTATGCACAAACACAGGTGCACTCTCTATTCCCTCACTCTCATAGCCCGATGGGACGGTAAACCGACACGACCGAAGAGAGATCAGGCGCAGGACCAACGGATTAACGTGCTTTCCGAGGCACGGGGGTGAAACACGGCCAACTTCCTGACTCTGGGCAGCTACTGAGAATTTCTTGACGGAAAAACTTAATAACTGATTTTTTGGCCCGACCCGGGATTCGAACCCGGGACATCATGATCAGCAGTCGTACTACTACAACCACTAGACCAACGAGGCAGTCATCCTATTAAATATGCTAGAGAACATAGATATTCCAGTAAAAGTTTAAAGTGTTTGCGAACTATTTAAAAAATTGGTGCCAATGTTTAAAAATCAATAAGGTCACTACCTCTGAAGAAAAAATAACTCGTTTTGAGGTGCCCCAAAGTAGTATTTGGGCCAAACCTGTTCACCTTAATAATGTCGACAGATTGATCATATCTCCATACAAAACTTAAAAACAAATTCTTAAGACTAGTGAAATTAAAAAGATTTCAACAATGTTTACAAAACCGTGTTACTACCCAGTTTAATGTGTATGTTCCATTCTATTAATGTACTCCTGATGGCACATTCTTGAAAAGGACTATGTTAGGCTAAAAAAAGGTTCAAGAATGAAATCGATGGAAAGAAAATTATGTAAATAATAAAATATTGAATGTTCTAAAACAATATTCAAATTAACACATAACATATTAAAGACCGTAAAATTTAACAGTATATAACATATACGTACCTGATCTAGGTAAAGTTACAACAAAGGTATCACTCGGTCTAATTTCCATGTTGTATATATTTTTACCAACGCTCTCAAACTTTCTAGTGAAGAGGTAACCTTTGGGTCCAAAACGCGTAGTACATAGTTTCGTATTTTCTGGTTCAAAAAAAGTTCAACATTGACAACATTTTTTCATAATGTAACACTTACCAATTGTCTCATTCGATTGTCATAATACTGGTAAAATGGAGTAAGTAAAACTGCTAGCGTTGCTATCGCCAAGCCACTAAAAATTTGGATATTATGGCAAACCTTGTAGAAACAAGATGCAACGTATTATAGTTAGAGCACGAGAGGATCTTTCAATCAGGAAAGAACCACGCTCTCACAGAATTCTAGCGTAAAATTCAAAAAAGCTAAATTTACGGCCTTAGTTCGCCAAATGAAGGGCACTGGCCCTATCTCGTGTCTGAGAGGGTTATGGAAACAATTTGTCCACCGGGTTCCAGTGCGCGTTGACAGACATCACATGCGCTTATAGTTACCACTGCTCTTACTAGCGTCAAATAGCAGCATAATACTGTTTCACTGTGTTATATTATTGTCAGCTTAATAACGAGATATCGTGTCACATGTGGCGATTGTAAAAAACCGAAGTCCTTTTTTACTGGAAACAAGGCATTGCATCTTACTCTTCAAGGGTTACAACGCATCTGCATATTGATTCTTAATCGAGGATAGATGTTGGTGTCTATGGACCTCATCATTTACTTACCATCATTTTAACTATGTGCTCATTTGTCACCCTTATCTTATAAAACTTAGCTGTTTTTAACACAAAGAGTTACTGCAGCGTGGTTATACAATGTATAAGTAAATTATTTAGCTAGCATTGTGAATTTCTAAATAATGACAATTAAAAAGTATACTCGTCATTATCATCATCATTACAGCCATTCACAAGTCCATTGCTGAACATAGGCCTCCCCCAAGAAATGCCACAAAGCACGGTCCTGAGCCACTTGCATCCATCGACTTCCTGCATGTCTCAGCATGTCGTAACTCCATCAAGGGGGGGGGGGGGTCGCCCTACACTTCGCCTACCGGTACGAGGCTGCCACTCAATAACCTTTTTTCCACATCGGTTGTATACCCAGAGCATAGCCCTCTCCATAGCTCGCTGAACGACCTTGAGCTTCCTCATACGGCCAGCAGTGAAGGACCATGTCTCAGATCCGTAAGTCATCACTGGCAACACGCACTGGTTGTACAATTTCGTTTTCAGGTTTTGAGGTATGTCTAACGAGAAGATGTGTCGTAGTTTCCCGAACGCTTTCGAGTTGAATCCGTCGATTGACCTCTCGGTCGAAGTTCGACTTACCTAGTCGGACTATTTGTCCCAGGTAAACATACTCGTCAAAAACTTCGAGCTTAGTGCTCCCAACAACTACCGGCATAGATGTTACATTGACAATAAACATGATCTTTGTAATGTCCATGTTCATCTTAAGACCTATCCGTTGGGAGACACTATTGAAGTCATTGAGCATAATGCTTAGGTCCTCCAGCGATTCTGCCATAAGGACTATAGCGTCGGCAAATCGAAGGTGAGTGATGTACTCGCAATTGATATTAATACCGCATCCTTTCCAGTCCAGTAGCTTCAAAACGTCTTCCAATGCAGCGATGAAGAGTTTCGGGGATATAATGTCACCCTGTCTTACACCTCTCTGCAGTTGGATAGGTTTCTTACTCTGGTTCTGTACTCGGATAGCCATGGTAGCTCTACTGTACAAACACTTCAGCACTTTGATATACAGACAGTCAACTTGGTACCGCTGAAGGGACTGCAGCACCGCCCAAATTTCGACGGAACCAAAGGCTTTCCCATAGTCCACATACGCCAGACATAGTGGCAAATTGTACTCTTCGGACTTCTGTACAATTTGCCGAAGGGTATGTATGTGGTCTATGGTGCTAAAATCCTTTCGGAAACCGGCTTGTTCGGGAGGCTGGAAGTCGTCAAGTCTGCGCGCGAGACGATTCGTAATGACTCTCGAAAACAGCACGTAGACGCGGCTCAGTTCTTCAAGAGAGCGTTGTCACCTTTCTTGAAGAACAAGACCACCGCACTTCTGCTCCACGCCTCCGGTGTAATGCCACCATGTAGGACGGAATCAGTAAAAAAGAATATTAGCGGAATATTATTTAAATATGGTGGTGGAAATGCATGATGGGACAGTTATGAGTATTATTGAGGAATATTACTGGCATCACAGTGGTATCGTAACTTATAATGTGTTTCACTTACTTTGATAAGATTGCTTCAATTTTTCAACTTGTTCAGGTTCGATATCTCGAATTTCGAAAGGGAAGCTCTTGTTGGATGTAGTCATTATTATATGTCTTATCTATAAAAATTGTAAAAAGTTTTCGAAGTATGCTGAAAAAAAAATTAAATAATTTTTATTAATCATTAATTTACGTAAATAAAATACTTATTCGTATCACTATATAGCTAATGGTATCAAATATTGGTAAATCCAATTGTGCAAGCCTTAATCGCATTAACAAATTACGTATTACCCATAATCATAATTTATTTGCAGAAAACAAGTTTTCACTAATAACCTTATTATTATATTTCCAATTTTCCAATAGTTTTATGTCAAACTTCAATTTTAAAAAAGTTTTGAAAATCTAAATGCACGCACGCACGCAATGCACGACTCATAATGCTCGTATGTTCATCATATCATCATTGAGGACATCCCATGAAGTCCAAGACGTATTTAAGTATATTTATATATAAATCCTTACTTTTAGTACGTAGTACTTTTATTTATCCTGTGCTTTTAAAATTGTAATAAAAATCTGTGATTATAATAATAATCAAGTTTGGATTTTCGAATATTTTGTATTTGTATAGCGATCTTTTTGAGCACGAGCCGCTGTGCTGCAAACAACCGATAATTCTATCTTTATTATTTTGACACCAACGTGATTTTGATTTAAAAATTCTTCTAATTTCTAGCATTTCATCATATATTAGAATGTAGTTTCCAAATTAAACTTGCGTATTCTAGTATGCTTCTTACAAATACTGAGAATACTCTGCAAGTGCGTATTACAAAGCCCACGTTACGAAAAGATTTATTAATTATGAGTGAGCCGAGTCTGAAGCTCTAAAGTAACACCAAGATCACGTACAAGTTGAACCCTTTCAATTGAAATATCATTAAAGTTATATGAATATATGATTGAATTTATTTTGCGAGTGAATCTTATGATTTGGCATTTACCAAGGCTGAGTGTTATTCTATTATTAACGTAATAATCGTAAATGCGACCTAAATCTTTCTGTAATAATTTATAATCCTCTATATAATAATAGTCTAAGACTGGAATACAAAATTTTGTGGATAATTTGACTTCTTCGATTTTGCATAATTCGAAAAATATTTAGGTGAATGTTTTATATACTTTTCTATGTTACTTGTAAAACGCTTATAACATTGTGCCTGTACCCGATGAAATCTATCCTTTAAGAGTGAAAATTCGTCATAATCCCTCGGATTTCCATATTTAATTTCTTCCATCACAGATGCGCTACAGTTTTATTTTTCATTATATTTGAAGAATAATTTTTTTTGAAGTTTTAGGAATGTAAAGAGCAAAACATTCCAATAATTTTCCATAATATATATCAATAGCTGACTCAATAGAATTTGTATTTAAAATATTATTCCAATCAACCGATTTAAGGTATTTATTTATAATTTCATAATTATGGTTATAAAAATTTTATACCTTAGCTGAGGACATTAGGCTTAGAAATTCCTAATTGGACAAGTCTCGGACAATAATAAATAAAGGTGGAAGAAAAACGTCAGCTTGTACTAAAGGCTGAGTTGAATTTATGGACAGTAAAAGGTTAGAAAAATGGGGATCCAGGGTATTTCCGCATATGTTTTGAAAATTGTATCGGTTAAAGCCTAGAAAAACTAAAGTTATTCTACAAGTATTAAAACACAGTTTTGAGTATCCATACTGCCGATCTGCGCAAGGACCATCATTGTTCAGGCATCATTGTTCAGTCGTAGGCAGGGCAAGTTAAAGTCCCCTACTATTAAGTAATTCTCAGCAGGATGAATATTGTGAAATCGTAATAAACTATTTTTTATATTTTCTATGCACAGTTGGTTTTAATTATCATCGAGAGGGACATACCTACATATACCAAAAAAAAATGCAAGTTCGTGGATGCATGAAACGTACGCGCAGGAATAGTTACACAAAGCGATTTGATAAGTGCATATTCAGACTCACATCTAAGCAATGGACATAAATTACGTTTGACGCATATCATAACACCCCCGACTATTTGTTTATTACTAATAACAAGGTCCCGGTCGCATCTAAAAATTTCGTACCCACCGTCACATAGCTCATAATTATGAATGTCGCTTTGTAGCCATATCTAAATTAAAAATATAATATCATAGTCGTATGTTAAAATGTTGTTATATAATGTCAACACACTTAGTCCGAAGTCCAAGAACATTTTGATAAAAGATGCTTATCACCTCCGTATGCTATGTGTGTATAAATAAATAATAATTACTTAAATTGTAATAGCAAGATTTAGTAAAATTATCTTTTCTTTTATTGAGTAAATAATATCGCTTATAACCAAAAATTGTAAATAATATACTTATTGTGTGTATATTGTTGTCGTCAGCTCAAAAACGGGGATTTGTTAAAGAAAGACCTAATATTCCACATAATCACATCTTATATTTCCATAAAATAATACAACATCACAGGGCTTACATAATATCATAGCAAATAAATTCACACGTACTTACAGTTTCAGTTTTCCAATAATTAGATATTAATTATTAACTACTATTACAAATACTTCGGCGCTTTATTGCTCACGACTTACTTCCTCTGAACTTCGAACCAGAATGCCGTGTTACGTGTTAAGGCGGCTACTGACCTGCCTGCTGCAAGGGCAATCTAGGAAGCACCGCGATCGGAGCAATATCGGAGCTGTCTCTACACACACGCCTGCCGTAATGCCGTTCAGTGCGCTGGACGCACGCGTTGAAAATGACGCCAGTTTTATCGAAATATCAATGAATCAGTAAATATATTGGCCTTGGCTCTTTTTTATATAGAATAAGGGTGACAAATGAGCACAGTCCACCTGATGGTAAGGTGACACTATGGCCTATAGACATCCACATTTATCAATAAAACAACCAATTAATTAATAATTACAACCATAATGTAGTGCTTAAAAGCTGCAGCATAGCTCTGCCACGCTATTTTTAGGCTATCAAAGACAATTAAATATGACTAACTTTACTCGTCATGATTCAAGTTAAGTAATTAAGTGAAATAAAATTAAGTTATATCACAGAACAAATTGGTTATATACCAATTTGTTCTGTGATATAACTTAACTATCTAGTGCTTAGTAACTATAATTTAACTAGTGTTACAAATAGCCAGGATAGTTTTCTAACGATGGTTTTAATAAAATTTATTTACTAAAATTTGTATTTTTGTTTAAATATTTATTTAATGCCATTTTATTTATATTCCAGCAATTTTAATATTATTGGAATATTTACTTTCCCATACTAGCCCGTATGATAAGTTAGGTAACAAATCCCAGTAATGTTACTTGTAAGTTACAACGTTCAAATAACGTTCTTTCTGCGGTTCTGACTTGTACTCATACGTGTGCTCCTCGCGAAAGTCGCAACGAACTGAACGAAATTAGCCCAATTGCGCTACACACGCAACAGCGGCAGGGCCGATCTAGGGAGCAAGGAAGGTCTTGCGCTCCTGCAGTGTTGCAAAAGTGAAAAATAAAAAATCGGTAGATTTGCCAGCTAAAAATATGGAGAAATCGGGAGATTTTTATTTACATCCATGGGTTTAGAAATGTATCATAAAACGTTCTTTTAGATGCCGTTCTATTTCGTTTAATTTTTTTTGCGATCAAAATAATGTCTTTATAATTTAAACTAAAATTTTATGATTATATATTTTTGCTACTCACGCTTTTCCAAAATTCTTCTGTTTCTTCACTGAGTGATTTAATTTCTTTCGTATTTAGAAGCAAACGCCATTCTAAATTAATTTTTTTTATAACTAATGCTACCTAACAAATTTCGACATAAAGCACAACAGTTCTCAACAAAACAGAATAAGGCTAGTAATTAGTGAATGTAATTCTATGAACGAACAACACTATATATACATGGCCTAAGCTACCTAATTCGTAAAACAACCCGAACAAAGTAATCTTTAGGGATCTCCCTCGTACACTTACCAGACAATAATGAACTTTATTTTAAGATGTATCAGTGCAATATGCTTTAACCATACTGCGAAGTTAAAAACCTAATAAGGTTATAGGTATAGGTCCCATAGGACGTGGTGCGAGCAATTTCGGGAAGTCCCCGTACATAGATTTTGTGTTAAAAGTTCATTTTAGTATTTTGATTATTACTTTTCAATTTTATTTATGATTATTATTTTACATTAGTTTAAAATGTAAAAAATCGGGAGATACGTTCGCTAAATATCCCGATATCCCTATCGGGAGATACTAATTAAAATCAGTAGATCTCCCGATAAATCGGGAAGTTTTGCAACACTGTGCTCCTGCCGCCCAGCCGCAGGGCCGACTTAAAAAATTGCCCCTGCTTGCCTACACACAACACAATTAAGGAGGCAATTAAGGGTCATCCCCACTCCTACACGGAGTCCCAGCCGCCTCAGATGACCCGAGAAGCTGACTGGGATTAACCCGTTTGCAGAAACGACTACAGGTATAATTTCGGTCGGCAGTCCGCCCCACATGTCGGTCACCTCGTGAGCCAGGTCCAGATATTTTGTACATTTGTTTGTTTCGGCTTTCACGAGGTTCTCGTCATACGGAATGGTAATGTAGACCAAAAATATCCTTGACTGTGCCCGGTCCATCAGCACAATATCAGGCTTATTCGCAAGAATGGTCCTGTCTGTGATGATGGCCCGGTCCCAAGAGAGCCTTGCGCGGTCATTTTCGAGCACGGCTTCCGGCATGTATTTACAATAAGGCAGTTTCCGATCCACGAGACCGTATTTCAGAGCGAGCGCCTGGTGTAGAATCCTGACTACTAGGTTGTGCCTATGCAAGTACTCAGAGTTAGAAAGCGCCGAACAACCGGAGATGACATGCTTAAGTGGTTCAACGGGATGGCGACAAGCTCGACAAATGTCGACGGTGCCATTCCTTAGGATGTATCTAAGGTGTTCATCCTGACGAATGTCATCCTGATCCTGTATTGCACAGACAAAACCCTCGGTTTCCCCGAAGAGGTCACAAAAACGT